ATGAAGATTACAACAGAACATTTTTGAAAAGTCTGAAGTCTAGGTAGATGTGAAAAATCATCAAGGAAGGTTAAGCAACTTAAACACATAGGTTGATTACGCAGAAATTAAGATCACGAAAGCTACAGAACTACTTAATTAACACTAGATAAATACAACAGCTTATCAGAAATCACCAACAAGTCATGTTGAACCAAAAGTAAACAATTACACATTGAATACACATTATAAACTAAACAACTAATCAGGAAAATAATAGCACGTTCATGATTTCCAAATGACGCAATTAAGGAAGGGAGGATGGAGGTGTACTGACCTCCTCTTGAGTAGCAATCCAAAACAAAGATTCTTGTTTAGCCGTATATAATCAAGAACTAACCCCGACCAGTGTAATACTCAGAATTAGGAAGAAAACAGAAGCTAGTTAGAATCCTAGCTTAATATAATACCCAAGACTAAGATCGAGATCCTTCTAAGTAATTTTGTTATAGCTTTTTGTATCTATTGGGTATGTTAGCTATGTAAATTGAAGATCTTAGGTCTATCTTGTGTGTTAGGTGAGAACATTGAAAGCCCCTTTTATAACACTAATTTTTAACATAACAATCCAATTAACCATAATTGAAGAAATAATTCACGAAATAAATTATAAAGCCTTGATGGTGTATTTTAGAAATTGTTTTAATAGTTTAAAGTAGTAGGTATAATTATAATTACATAATGTTAAAACTAGGTGATTAATTTTGAAACTAATATTCAATTTATTTTTATAAAACAAGTATTTATTGGTGGAAAATACTTTCAAAATATTTATTGTAAATATTTAAGTATGAGAAAATTAATTTTAAAAGGAAGGGTCAAAATTGGCCGTCAACAGCTGTCCATCTTCGACCAGAGACGATGAAAGAGTTTTTGAGCAAAGTAATTAAACCAAAGCCAATTTTGTCCTGACTTTAGGCATACATTGCAGGGATGACATATGGATTTGAGGGATATTAATGTTTGCATAATTTTAGGGAGAGTTGAGGAAGATTTAGGGGAAGTTGGGGCCGAATTCTGTCTTTGAATTGCTTACATACCTCGGGCTTAACGAGGATCAGGCCTCATGTAATTCTGGAGTGAGGATTTTTAGGAAACGATGCTCGCAGGAACTGCCCTAGTATCGTATTATGACGATACGACGAGATGGATCATTGGGCACTTATGATAACTTGAATTTTGCGGCTTGATTTGGAGGAATTGAAGATTTGGAGTTCCACTAGTCGTTTTGTGTATGTACTTGGATCCTTAGCCCGCTATTGAGTTTGTTGTCACTCATAGCATTGTAGTTTGGTTTGCTTCTTAGAAAGAGTTCCACGTTGTGATATTTGTTCCTGCAAAAATGAAATACACACATACCCATATATTGCAATACAGAATATATCATGATTTGATGTAAATGATGCAAGAATGATGATGCCTGGTTACCGACAAGTCATTATTTGTGATCGTTATGATGGGATACTTGAACCTGACTCGATTTGTTAGCCAGGTTGTGTACCTTTCCGCAGCTGTCAGAGCATTAAAAAGTGTCTCCGCTAGTTGGGAAAGATTGACTTGTAGAGTGCATCTCCGCTCGTTGGGAGAGCTTTGCACTGAGAAAATATCTCCACTTATTGGGAGAGCTTATTTTGTAGAGTGCGTTTCCGCTTGTTAGGAGAGCTTTGCACTAAAATGTAAAATAATCTGCAGTTGGGAGTGACTAACTTAAACTGTAATCATGCCTAAAGCTGCATGAGCAAAGCTTCAAAACAGTCAAGGTAGTAGTAAAGGAAAGAAAAGCATGCCCAAGAGATATTCTTGACTGTGAAGCTAAGTTGCAGCCATTGATTGGCAGAACGTTGGTGACGAGGTTTGTGACTGTCTATTCCGGCCTCCGTTGCGATAGAGTGGTGGTGTGGATTATTCTCTTGGTGGAATGAACAGTTTGCTTTATATAAGGCTTCGATTGGCAAAGCCGGTGTTTGATTTGTACAGGGCACTCCGATCGATTGGGCTAACGATTTGCTATATACAGGACTTCAGTTGGTGAAGCCAGTGGTCATTTGCACAAGGTTCTCCGATTGGTTGAGCAGGCGATTCGCTATATACAAGGCTTCAATTTGTGAAGCCAACAGTTCAGTTTGTACAAGGTGCATTGATTGATTGAGCAAGCGGTTTGCGATGTACATTGTGCCTTTTTTGCATCAATGGTCTGACTGTGAGGTACCGATAAAATATTCAAGGATTAGCTTCAGCTATACAAGAAAATTTTAGTAAAGGATAAAGGATGATAATCCTTGAAAAGTGGTAGATCCGTTATTTTCCCAGTGTGATCCGAACATTTCCTTGCTTCCTGTTGATCCTGCACTCAAAGAAAAGTTCTTAGTGGGAGCGGGGAAGTTGGTTTGTGTCGGCCATAGTGTTGGTTTGCCCCGGCCTTTGATATGGTTACGCCATGAAGTTTGGTAGGTGGAACAAATTACTGTATTTTTTAAAAAAAAACAAGTTTGAAAAGCTTTGTTTTAAGATATATGTCATCGTTCTGGATTATGATATGTTTACGAAAAGTACTCCAAACGTGAGCATCTTCTTTTAAAACAATTGTCCAGTTAATGTTGATCCTTCGTGATGCTTGACAATGCAGCTACTTGCCGTTGCGACTGCGTCCTAATTCAACTAATGCAATTCAAAGGTTTTTCCTTAGGCTATGACCGAACCCTTTCAGTTGCCTGCTTATCCAAAATGGAATCAGGTCTGAACGTAGTTCATGGATGATGACAAAATATGATGAAGATGACCGAGCCTGACTTAGGCAGCCCATGTATCCAAGTGGAATCAAGTCAAGACATAGTTCGATTACAATAGATGCAAAAATGACGAGATTAAGAATAAAATGACCGAGTCTGATTCAGACTGCCTACGTATCCAAATGGAATCAGGCTAGAACGTAGTTCAATTACAAAAGATGACTAAATATGATGAGGATTGCCTACGTATTCCTTCATGAGGAAATCAAGTCGGCGTAGTTCCAGAGCAACACACAAATGTGATATTTTGTTTTCTATTACAAAATGAAGGAGGGAGAGAAATCGAACACTACGTGGATCGCCTACGTATCCCTCCGTGGGAAGTCAGGTTGAACGTAGTTCTGTTACACTAAAAACCCTAACTCTATTTGTCTTTAAACATAATATCTCTTGATTGCGTCTATGTTGATGGGCTTCGTGTTGATTCTTCCATCCATTTCTGTCAAGATTAGAGCTCCACCCGACAATACTCGGTGAACCACGTAAGGACCTTGCCAGTTTGGTATGAACTTTCCTTTGGCTTCTTTTTGGTGGGGAAATATTTTCTTCAGGACCAACTTCCTCGCTGCGAAATGATGAGTCTTCACCCTTTTGTTAAATACACTGGATATCATGTTCTGATATAGCTGACCATGGCATACTGCATCCATTCTCTTCTCATAGATTAGCATGAGTTGCTCCTATCTGAACAGTATCCACTATGGATCGTCTAACTTGGCCTCTTGAATGACCCTTAAAGATGGTATCTCGACCTCTACGGGTGTCACAGCTTTAGTGTCGTATACTAACATGTACGGTGTTGCCCCAGTGGATGTTCTCATGGTGGTCCGATAATCCAGTAAGGCGAAAGATAGTCTAATTCCATTGCCTTTGATTATCCAGTGTATTTCGTAGAATCCTTTTGATCTGCTTGTTGGCTGCCTCAACTGTCCTATTTAGTTGTGGTCTATAGGGTGTGGAGTTGTGGTGACTAATTCTAAACTTCTCACATATTTCTCTCATGAGGTCACTATTGAGGTTAGCGGCGTTGTCTGTAATGATTGACCCTGGTATTCCAAATCTGCAGACGATGTTGTTTCGGATAAAATTTGCTACTACCTTCTTTATGACGACCTTGTAGGCAGATGCTTCAACCCATTTAGTGAAGTAGTTGATAGCTACCAAGATGAAGTGATTCCCATTTGATGCAACAGGCTCTTATGTCCAATCACGTCCATGCCCCAAGCGGCGAACGGCCAAGGTGAACCCATAAGATTCAACTCATTTGGCAGAACCCGGATGAAATCCCCATGAATCTAGCTCCGGTGAAACTTCTGTACGTAGCGAATACTATCGCTTTCTATAGTCATCCAAAAGTATCTAGCTCTCAAGATCTTCTTGGCTAATGTGAACCCTTTCATGTGGGGTCCACACGTTTCTACACATATTTCTTCCAATATCCTTGTTGCCTCGACGACATCTACACATCTCAACAAACCCAAGTCTGGGGTCCTCCTGTACAGGACTTCCCCGTTGAGGAAAACGTGGTTTGCCAACCTCCTGAGGGATCGCTTTTGACTATTAGTAGCATTTTCCAAGTACTCTCTGGTTGCAAGGAATTTCCTAATTTCGTGATACCATGGTTTACTATCTAGCTCTTCATTTACGTGGAAGAAATATGCATGTTGATCCCTCATCTCTACCTCTATATGGTCGATGCAGTTCTTGTATGGATGCTGAATCATGGATGATAGAGTTGCGAGGGCGTCGGCGAACTCGTTTTGAATCCTGGGGATGTACTTGAACTCAATCTTCGTGAACTTCTTGCATAGCTCTTTCATGTAGTGCATGTACAGAAGGATCTTGACAATTTTGGTGGACCATTCCCCTTGGACTTAGTATATCAATAGATTGGAATCTCCTATGACCAAAAGTTCTTTGATGTTCATGTCGACTGCCATTCTGATCCTAATGGTGCACGCTGTGTATTTACCTATATTATTAGTATAAGGGAATCTTATCTTTCCCGATGCTGGATAGTGTTGTCCGGATTCCGAAATTAGGACTGTCCTAATTCTGACTCCTTTAATGTTTGCTGCTCCATCGAAAAACATTTCCATACAGGGTATGACTATGCAATATCTTCTCCAGCAAATAATACCTCTTCATCGGGAAAATACGTAGTGAGTGGCTTGTGATCTTCGTCCATTGGATTCTCTATGAGGTGGTCGGCTAAAGCTTGCCCTTTGATAGGCTTCTGAGTTATGTATAGATGTCAAATTCGTCGAGGAGAATTTTCCATTTAGCGAGCTTTTCGGCCGGCATTGACTTATGGAAGATGTATTTGAGCGACTCGAGTCGAGATATCAGATTTGTAGTCTATGCTTTAGTTTCTTGGCGATCCAAGTCAGAACACAACAAGTGCATTCTATCAAAGTATATTTGGACACACATGGCATGAACTTCTTACTTAAGTAGTAGATGGCCTGCTCCTTTCTCCCATTTTTGTCATGTTTCCCCATCACATAGCCGAAGGCGTTATCCAAGACTGACAAATATAGTTACAATGGCTTCCCAGGCTCAGGGGGAACCAGTACTGGTGGATTTGACAGATACTCCTTGATTCTGTCTAAGGCTTTCTAACAATCTTTTGTCCATTTTGTGGTAGCATCCTTTTTTAGCAACTTGAAAATGGGTTCACAGATTATCGTGGACTGGGCTATGAAACGACTAATGTAATTTAGTCTACCCAAGAAACTCATCACATCTCTCTTACTCTTGGGCGGTGGCAATTCTTGGATGGCCTTGATTTTTGATGGGGCCAGTTCTATCACTTTCCTGCTTACAATGAAGCCCATAAGTTTTCTAGCAGGGACCCCGAACACGCACTTTGCCAGATTCAATTTCAAATTGTACCTATGCAGGCGCTCAAAACATTTCCTCAAGTCCTCCAAATGCTCTGAACTCTTTCGAGATTTGATAATGATGTCATCCACATACATTTTGATCTCCTTATGAATCATGTCATGAAAAAGGGTCGTCATGGCCCTCATGTAGGTGGAACTAGCATTCTTGAGACCGAATGAAATGACTCTATAGCAGTAAACTCCCCAAGGTGTGGTAAAGGCTGTCTTTTCTGCATCTTCCTCGTGCATCAAGATTTTGTGGTACCCAGCGAAACAATCCACAAATGACTGCAGTTCATGCTTCGCACATTTGTCCACGAGGATGTGGATATTTGGTCAAGGGAAGTCATCCTTTAGACTAGCTTTTTTGACATCTCGGTAATCCATGTATATCCTGATCTTTTTGTCTTTCTTGGGTGCTGGGATGATATTTGCCAACCAGCTGGGATAATTGGTGACCTTACCACATTTTCCTTTATCTGCTTGGTCACTTCCTCCTTTATCCTCAGACTTAAATCAGGTTTGAATTTTATAGGTTTCTATTTGACCGGCGGTCTGGTAGAATTGGTGGGCAGTCAATGCGAGACAATGTTAGTGCTTAATCCCGGCATGTCATCATGGCCATGCGAACACAATGATGTATTGTCGGAGGAGCTCAACCAGTTTTTCCTTCTGCTCGACTTCTAGATGAATGCTTATTCTGATTGTTTTCACGTCTTCTTCATTTCCGAGGTTGACCACTTCTGTTTCATCGAGGTTGGGATTTTTTTGACTCTCCAGTTGTTCAATCTCCTGTGGGAGATTTTTTAGCATCATACTCTCATCATACTCCTCGTAATCTGGGTCATTGCGCTCAACGTTATCTTTACACATCTAATTGTTCAAAAGAGGTAAATGACAAAAAGGTACAGACACAGTGCATGCCTCAATTGACCGTGCACTTTTCATAAAAGAAACCTTTTACAGTTCCACACTACCAAGCCTCCCGGCGAACCAAAGATGGACCGGTGGTCCAATTCCGCAACTCTTCCCCTAGTTCAACATCCCTGATAGTCGGTGTCTTGATGTTAGTCCATTCATAGAATTCTTCAATCATATTCACAAACAACTTTCCCATCTCATCAATGATATCATCTTCTGGAAATGAACTCTTGCTCATACTTGAAACATGCTTTGGCAAAAAAACCCTTTTCCCGGAGCTACCGGTATGCGTTTTCCCCATCGGAGGCTGATATCCTATGCCGACCCTTCCTTTCTGCCCATTAGGTTCAATTGGCTCTATGATCCCGTCTGTCCTGGCTCCCAATTCTGTTCCTGGTCTATATCTATATTTAATCATCTCCCTCATAGCTATCTGGGATCTATACGGCAACTGTATTCCCGAGTTTTGTTTAGTCTCATCCTTTTCGGTGGTCTGCATGATTTTTACTGCATGGAAAGCAACTTCGTCTAGTCCTTTAATAAATGAGACAACATAGTGGGTGGGACGGCCCATGCCATGTGTATCCTAGAAGAAAGTTGTGTGAAGAAGAGATATCCATTACTTGAAACCATATGGGAAATTCGACCGGCCCAATCTGCAAAGCCAGATAAATTTCTCCGATGACATCTTTTCGTAAACCATCAAAAGCCCTTACCCTCAGGTGACTTTCCTTGACTTCCCTCAAATAAATTCCCAACTCCTGTAGGGTAGAGAGCGGGAACATATTGACTCCTGATCCTCCTTCAACCGGCACTCGAGACACCACTTTGTCCCCACATTTTACAGTGATATCAAGGGGTTTGTTGTGACTTACGCCTTCAACAGGAAGTTCTTCTCTTCTAAAAGTGATCATATTTTCTTAGACCATTTTCCCAATTGTCGCGGCCAGCACCTCACTAGTGGTGCTCCTTGGTACACTTATCCCACTTGGTACTTTCAATAGGGCATCCTTATGACTATCGGAACTCATCAGCAAATCCATGATTGACATTTGTGCTGGAGTTTTCTTCAGTTGCTCCTCCATGAAGTACCCTTTGGTCGACATTCTCTTCAAGAATTCGGCAACTTCTGGGTCAGTTATGTTCCTTCTTTGAATCTTCCCTCTTCCCAAGTTCCCTAGATTTGCATCTTCAAGAGCGTAGCATCTCCTAGACCTAGTCATACCATGGTCTGTAGCAGAGTCTGTCATCTTGGCCTTCCCCTTCTGCTGGTACATCCATGGGACAATTTTGTATTCCCTACTATCTTCGTCCCCTGTAGCAACGCCATATTGTTGATGACAAGTTTGGATTGTCACCATAGGTCTCACTTGTACAGTATTAATTGGAGCCTTTTGAGGTGAGATCCTGGCGGTTTCTACATTTCCTATTGGGACAATCATTCCCTCCAGATCATATTTTTCATCCAATGTGATCATGTTGACCCCCTGGTTTCTATGATTTGGCAGCGGATTGCGATTCGCATTGGGTGGCGCCGGAGTGCACTGAATGGCTCTGCTCTTGATCAGTGTTTCAATCTCATTTTCAGCTTAAAACAATCTTCAGTATCATGCCCAGGCATGTTGGAATGGTACACACACCTTTTAGTTGCATCAAAATACTTAGAGGGATACTTAAGAATCCTTCCTTCCTCTAGATGTATCAATCATGCTCTTCTCAATCTCTCGAACAATTGGGCTAGAGGCTCAGTAATCGGAGTATAATTTCTGGGACCCTTCTTTTCAAAATTGGGATGAGGGCATGGTGCATAAGTGGGTCGATTTTGGTGGGTAGTGGTATATGGTCGTTGTGGGTTCGGGTTGTTGTGGTCTCGAGGAGGGTTGTATTGGGGTTGAGGGTGGTAATATGGTTGGGTGTTATAGACTGGAGCGTAAGCGGGTAGTGGTGAATGGTTGTTTGGGGAATAGGAAATGTTTTCATGATGTGGGTTGCGTTGATAGTATGGGACGATTGCTGAGACCTCCTCTTTCTTCTTCTTTCAGCTACCAATTGACCCTGATTGGATTGCCTTGCTGGCCGCTTGCAGTGCAGCCATGGACTGTACTTTACCAGATTTTATACTTTCTTCTATGAAATCTCCAATCTCGACTAGCTCGGGGAATTTCTGTCTCATTATTCCCATCATTGTTTTGAAGTATATCCCTTCTTGGACTTTGATAAAATACTTGGTTAATTCACTGTCGTCCACTAGAGGTTGTGCCCTGGTAGCCTCTAACCTCCACCGACATGCATATTCTTGGAATGAGTAGTATGGATTTTTTTGCAGGTTCACCAGTGCAAACCTATCGGTAGTGATTTTTGTGTTGAATTGAATTCGATTCATGAAGTCATCTGCCATATCTTGCCAGTTTCTCCAGTTTCGTGGATCCTATCGAGTATACCAGGTGAGTGTTTCTCCCGTCAGGCTCCTTATGAATAACTTCATTCTTAGCTTCTTGTTCCTCCCCACTCCGACTAACTTGCCATAATATAATCTCAAATGCGCGTGGGCATGGATACACAGATCCTCGTAGTTCAAACTTTCACTTCCTTGGGAGACTTGGAGGTTCTTCATTTGTTTTATCAAGATTTGCAGTTGCTCAGATACTAAATCCTCTTTCTTACACCTAGCTTCCCTCTCCATCTCGGCGTATTGGTCAATCTCATAAGGTGCCCTGACAGTGACAGGCGCTGTAAAGGTAGGTTTAGAAATGGCATATACAGGAGGAACATATCGCTCAGGGGCGGTGGTATGTGCCACGGGTATGTGCTGATTAGGGTGAGTGGTAAAAGTTACTCCGTCACGAGAAGAGGTGTGAGTTGCGTTGGTGGTGATAGGTGGGTTTTTTGGTGTTTGAACGTAATATGGTACGTAGGGAGATTGGATTACTGGAGGTATGACTTGAGTGGTAGGGACTGAAGTTGGGGTGTTGATCTTTTGGCTTGATGTTGAAGGAAAGTGATTGTTGATTGAATCTAAAGAA